GACAGACTCCCAGTCCCTGCAGGGGTGGACAAAAAGACTGTATGAAACCTTGCGGGACCTGAATGGAAGACACTAGAGATGGCAGACCGAGTGCCCTGAGAATGTTGCAGACAACATGAGCCACCCCGCTTAGGATCCAAATTACAGGCACTGATCATCAGGTAAGACCCCAGATTAGCAATAAAATAATCTTCTGCTCCCCGCCCCTGAGAATTTAGATCCAGGTACCTATAGACTAAGGTAAGTCTTCTATCTGTTGTTTTTGGTGTAATAACCTGCTTAGCCAAACTCTCTTGTATTTTTCTTAATTATAAGACCTGTATATTCATTGACTATATCCACCTGGACAAAGGAAAAAAAAAAAGGACAAGAAATACAAGTAGGTAAAAAGGAAAAAACTCTCAAAATATATTAAGCTACATTAAATAAGAGGGATGGGAGAGGAAATTGAATAGTGATGCTAAAGGTAACAACTGAAATGATTTGCAATAATCCATTACAAACAATACAGAATAAACTAAAATGTTCACAAAAAATGCGTTTCCTATTGCATTAATATGTTTAAAACAAAAAATGGCATGAAGTTAAATGAATACTATTCCTCTCCTTTGGTGAGAGGACACTGTGGAAATCACATTAATGTTTTCTGTATTAGTCATTGTTGACAAGTAGACTGGCTTATAAGAAGATAGATTTATGAATTATGAACCTTTTCAGAAACCAGAGTTCACCTAATTATTTAGCATAATATATAATAAGTAGTAAGTTAACAGGAACTTGGGCAAAAAGCATAAAACTAAAAATACACATGAAAAATATCAAGTGAAGAATCTGCCTGGATGAACATTTGAAACTTTATTTGTAAGAGAAATGTAGTTTACAACACTATTTTTTCTATGAAATCTATTTCTAGTATCCTTGTAAGTATCTTAACCTTAATAGAATAGCAAAGAGACTGATTTCACGTTTAAATGTTTTTTTTTTCCCGGAAAATATGCCCCAAGTTATTGCAGAACATATAAAATGCGCGTCTTCACAAAAATTGAAATAAACAAAAACACTGCAGAAAAATTATAAACCTGTGTTTAAAATGAATACATTGCTCACGAGTGCCACAGCTACTAGAGTCATGGCAGTTGGACAAGTCAGTGAAACGTTTATGTAAAACAGTGTTTAATCGCATGCTATAGACTAAGAAGTCTAGTTCAGAAACATTTTAGAAAGCATACATGCACTGTATATGGCTCTGAGGGAGCTAGAATCTCTAAATATTACTAATTTTCTGTTCACAGAATTGTACGAATTGCAAGTCTATTCTTTTGAGACTAGAACTGAATTGCATTTCTATCAAGAACAAGCAGGTTTCATAGAAGATCTTTAGACTTAGCTGACAACAAAAATGTCATAATTTTGTGTCCAACTTGATAGCTATTGTTAGCAATGTAAGTCTTGCCTGTTCTGAAGCTCAAAAAAAAAAAAAGGGATGTTTATAACTTGTAGATTAAAAGAAAATATCTAACAAGGAGGATCATATTTTACAGAATAATTCATTTTCATCTTGAACTATTCAGTCTTCAAGAGTCAAAACAATCACGTTAGTATAGATTTAGCACAGAAAATTCATTATACTGATACCACTTTCTACTCATGCAAATAAACCATTATATATTCACAGATTTCTACATAATTTCTTATCAACATTGGAAAAAAAAAACATTTTAATTACATATTCACAATGATATTCCTGTAAATGCATTCATAAATAATACTGTATACAGTTGAAATCCTCTCCCCTATCGCTTGTTTTATTTATTTTGAGAGGACAGCTCTGTAAAACACACATAAGAAATTTAAATGTTTCAAATGCCAAAAAATTTAAAAAGGATCCTTGATCAGTCAGTAACATTAATTTCAAAATGTGAGATGATCTACTCCAGTTTGAAACTGAAGTAGTCAAAATTTTAGCACAAAGAAGAAAAGCAATCATATAACAGAAGTGGAAACAACAGAAAAAACAAATGATCAAATATTAAACCTCACAAGATATGGAATAACATCCTGTCCATACTGCTAATTTTAAAATGCTGACCAATTGCTTACCACAGGCATGTCCAAACCTATGAGCTGCGGCTGCCGCATGCCATCATGGCAGCAGCTCTTCCCTGCCACGCAGCCTGGCCCAGCCATGGGCAACAAACCCATCATTCAGCAACAGCCAAATAGCAGTGTGTGATTGGCACTGTCTGGGCTGAAACCAAGGTATGGGACGATGCAGGGCAGTGCTAACTCGAGTTATGGCAAATAATTTTATGTGATGTGATACATTGGCTAAAAACAGTCTTGTGAACAGTGCAAAATATGCAGCTTTGCTTTCCAAGCGAATTGGAAAGTTCAAGACCTGAATATAATGTAGATGGTATAGAATAAGGGGTGGATACTGTACTAGTTTAAGCTGCAATAGAATTCATTTTCTTCATAGTATATGGTATGATGCTAGGGTTTTGGATGTAGGATGAAAATAATGTTGATAACATGTTTTGGTTGTTCCTGAACAGTGCTGCACAGAGCCAAGGACATTTTAGCTTCTAAAACTGCCTTGCCAGTGAGGAGGCTGGGGGGGGCCACAAGGAGCTGGGAAGGGACTGAACCAGGACAGCTGACCCAAAGTAGCAAAGGGATGTTACATACCATATAGAGTCACACTAAACAAAAACTGGGAGGAGTTGGCCAGGGTCTGCCATTGCTCAGGAACTGGCTGAGCATTGGTCAGCTGGTGGTGAGCAACTTCACTGTTGTCATGGTTTTATGATTTTTGGTTATTGGTATTCCATATCATAACATCATATAGTGCACTGGGAGTTAAAGTGTTAATGCTCCAGTTCCAGGCACCTGTCTGGAAGAGAAGAACTACATAACCCCGGGGGGCTTTGTGGTCAGAGGAGATATAACCCCTGGCAAGGTCACCTGATGTGCTCTTCTTCGTCTGCTCTCCTCCCTGCTGCTCAACTGGACTGTGCATCTCACCTCAGTGTTATGGTGAGGCCTATCCACCTTTTGGACACTCTCTCTCATTATATTTGATTTATTAGCTTCAATTCTAATTATATTTTATTATAGTGTGTTATCTTACATTCCGATACTATATTTAGTAAATTAGTTTGTTTCTCCTCAGATCATTGCCACTGTTTTTAATTATTTTGGGGTCCCCTGTTTCCCTTTTCCAGAGGTGCAGATCTCGTGAAAATCCCTCTGCCCTGCTAGTCACGGAACTGGGCTGAACCAGCCCACAGACCATTGACAACTAAACCGTTGACAACTGTGCATCACATACTCTATTTACCCTTTTCTGTTAATTTTTTCCCCCACTTTATTTTCTTTCTCCCTTTTGTTTTTTTTTTCTTATTAAACTGTCCTTATCTTAACCCATGAGTTCTTCCAAATCTGTTTTCAATTTTCTCCCCCATCCTACTAGGGGTGCATGGCATTTAGCTGCCTGCTGAGTTAAACCAGAGAAAGCTTAAATTGTGGAGGCTCCTCACATGTGTTTTGTTTATAGCATAAGAAAGGCAGATGGTATTTTATAACTCTATTCTTATTGTGTTATTTCAAAATATATCTTGGAAAAATACATTTCAGTCCTAATTAATAATATAAAAGAATCTTACTGCTTGTCTAAGTACCACTCCAGGTACACTAATTTAGTTATAGTAGTAATATAGTCATTTATCCAGACACACTTAAACCAGTTTCATTCATACATACATCAGTTATGGTAAACTAGAGAAATTATCAATTAAACTAATGTAGATGAAAATGCAGCTTAAAACCATTCAAGTTTTCCCACACAAGGTATTTGCATCAGAGTACATAAATCACTTATGTTGGAGCAGTATTTCCAGTAACAAGTCCTGAATTGAGTTTCACTTTGATTCCCCCAAATCACCATATAAGCAAGCATATAAACTATCAAACTTTTGTCTTTAATTTTTAACCACAGGAATAGCAAATCTAAAAGAACAGGAGTGTACAAGATAAAATGCATTTAAAAAAAAAACTTACCTTTATTTGATTTGGATGACTTGTTCTTGTTAGGCTTAAAACATGAGCCCCTTGATTTATCTTCTCTATCCTTAATGAATTTCTGCACATCATCCAAAGAGAGCTTCTGAAGGACAACTACAGGCTTAGCTCCTTTATTTAGGTCTTCAACTAGCCCAATCTTCTCTACTTTATCCTTCTGTTCACCTTTACATTCGGTTTTCCTTGACTCCTGAGTGACATTGCCATCTTTATCACGCTTGATTTTTGGGATGACAAAATGTTTCAATGTGCCAGATCTTGCCCCCAACAAGTAACTGGGAAACTCTGCTTTATTGCCAGTATGTATTTTATTACTATCTACTTTACTCTTATTACCATCTGTCCTTCGTTCATCCTTGCTGTTGGGTGACTTAAAACCAGCTTTATCAGGTCTTGGTTTACTACAGTCTCCTTTACTTTCCTGTTTAATACGAGGGCTGTCAGGTCTTGATTTCTGATCCCCGGATGAAAATCTTTCCCTTGATTCACCAGACTCATATCTATGCTTCCTTTCAAATTTCTCAGTTTTTGAAACATCAGATTTTATACCATGCTTAGAATCGTGTTCATTTTTGTTTGAGGATCTCAAATACTCAGGTCGTCTTATCTTGAATGGATCTCCTCTGTATCTCTCTGACTCCCCTCTGTCCTCAGGTCTTTGTTTAAGGTTAACATGGTCACACCTCAGTGTATCAGAAACTGAACGCCCATCAGGCCTTTGTTTCACTGAATCTGATCTACTTTCACATTTTATCTTTGAAGGATCAGATTTTACATCTGTTTTATGCCTAGTTATTTCAATTTTCTTATCTGACAACAGTTTACTGGAGTCCCTCCTACTGTCATGTCTATGTTTCGGCATTTCAGGCCTGCCTTCAGTCTTCTGTTTTGGCATTTCAGGCCTCTGTCTTATTTCCTGTTTGCCGTTATTTTGCTTTCCCTCATTTTGTTTTATCTCCATTTCCCTGCTCTCATTTTGTTTTGACGCTGTCTGTCTGTTCTCATTTTGTTTCAGCTCTATTTGACTGCTTTCATGCTTGTTTTCATATTTAGCCTCTATCTCTTTGTTCTCATTCAGTTTACTTTCCAACCTTCTACTCTCATTTTTCTGAAATTCCATCTGTCTGTTTTCATTTTGTTGGATAGCTGTCTTTTGACCCCCAAAGTCTGCCTTTTTCTTAAAAATCTCAGGATGGTTTTCAGGTTTAATTCCAACAGTGTCGTCTTGAGGAAAACACACAAACCCATCATTGTACTGCTTTATTTCTTCTTTTTTTTTGAAGGCATCCAAATCCTGAGTTGCTGTTGCCTGAGAGTCTGCTCTTCCTGCTTGCTGAAGGTCAATACTAACCATCAATGGTGGCCTTGCCCCATTTCCTGCAGAACGTGTCTCCTGAGAAGTTGGTCTATTTCCTCCAGTAGCACCACCAGCCTCCTGTGGTTTGTTTTCTTGTTTTCGCTTCTTCAGAGGCTTATCTACAATTTAAAAGATAGAAGTCATATATATATATATATATATTTATATATGAGATTAAGTCTCCAAGCAAAAATATCCATTCCCCTCTATCTCTACAAATTAATTCCCCTCAGCATTTATGTGCATGCATAACAAAACTCAGTGAATTTAAAAGCAAGAATAGAACTTGTCTAGTTCATTGTCAGTCTACCACAGGTGCCAATTAATCATTTAAAAAAAAAACATCCACAAAACACATGAAATCCAAGTCCCTCTAAAATTCCTAAGAGAACCATCTAAAATAAAGCAGTTGCAATATATAATGACAAAAACAAAGAAAGCAAAACTTAAGGTTGAAACAAAATTCTGTAAAGACATTGAAGGTGCACCTCCATAACTGCTTTGTGATTAATACTATTGTAAAAAACTATCTGCAGATTCGGCCTGCTTCCTTATACATGAAATAAGCAATGATCTGCAGAGATTCTCTGTCTTAATCACCCTACATGGTTCAGTGCGTTAGTTGAACTTAATACATATTATTGTTAGGAAACACAGGAACAATGTACAAAAAATCATTAAAATAACTCCAACACTCCATTCCTCTCTTTGAAGCAAAGCAGTATACCAAGAGTTGAAGTCTATGGTTGCCCTCTCACCTAATATATATGTGTTACGATATAGTGTTTTCAATGGATAAAATAAAAAGTTGAGTGATAATTTTACGTAGTGTCAAGAGTTTGACTCTGCAATTATGCTTTCAGTTTGTATTAAAAAAAAAAAAATCAAGAGTAGAATACAAAAAAAAAAAACTGAGCCAACCACACATCTTGCAACTTAGTAGCATTCATAGAAATGAGGAACACATTGGAATATTAAGAAGATATGTTCTGTCTATTTAAATGACAAGCTATTTATATTACCAACATGGTACCCTAAACTAAAATTAATTACTGCCATTGGTACTAAAAGTCCTACCTGCACTAAAGCTTATATATTTGTCAACTATCATTATGTAATGTGTTTAAAAAATAAGTAAGTTACCTTCTCTGTAATTAGGCAATATGATGTTAAGTCTAGGTTAGAAATTATGTAGAGATATTGTCAAAATGCCTAGATCACAACAACAATTTAAAAAATAATTTATTTGGTGCCTAGATATGTGGTGCCTTATCACCGGATGTAATTAAGCCAACTCTATTTTTGGGAGCAGGGTAAGTGTAAGAAGGAAGCAATCAAGGAAGAGAGAAATAAACTCTAATCTTCATCCTTTTTATTCCACAGACAGTAGAATATCTTTTTATTATCAGGATTTAGGACTTAGTCAAAATATCAGACTAATATTTTTCTTTCAAATCCCACAGAGTTTGCCACAACTCTGAACAGGTAGGCTGACAAACTCTTGAGACCAATAGTGTGATCAGGATCTCTTTGCTTCACTCTTTGTAACAAAAATAATAGTTAGCCACAAAAGGGCTAAGTTAGAGATCAGGCATCCAAGTTTGTTTTCAGATTCACAGAAGGGCCAGGGTTGGAAGGGACCTCAAGGATCATGAATCTCCAACCCCCCTGCCACATGCAGGGCCACCAACCTCCACATTTAATGCACTACTCTTTTATGTATGCATCGTTTTGGTTTGGCAAATCCACATAGATGTTCTCTTTACATGACAACATGCTCATCAAAATGCATTAACTTGGTACTTAAAGCAAGATCATAAGTCACCTCATTCTAAAATGTAGTAGATGTTGTGTCAAATTAAATGAGTCATTGTGGTACAAGAAACTAAGCGTTACTGGAACCACAAGTTTGAAATGAATAAAAAGGTTAGCTGCATTTGCAAGTGGTTATGTCTCACCTGTCCTGTTATGAACAGTATTCCTGAAGACAGGTGTAGCCATCGTCTTTGGAAAAGTTTGCGTCAAAACTATGAGTACTTTCAGATTTAGAAAGTATTTAATTATTAAGGAACCTTTGAATGCATGTAAAAAATAAAAAAAAAAATTACACTGCAGTAACCACAGATACCTCCAAATAAGCTTCTACTGAAACTACAAGTCAACCACTTGGAGAGTCTCCATTCTGAAAACTTGGAAACTGAGCAAATGTTAAGGACACAGGCTGGATGAGGGGAATTGGATTAAGGAAACGTCTCAGTTCCTCCATTTAACATGAAATCTTTCGAAAGCAGCAGCCAGAACACCCTTAATATTCAAGTCTCCAACAATACTGCTTTCTTGCAAATCCAATGACTGCCTCAAGTACCAGATTATATAATAGGACAATAGCCTAAAAACTTTTAGAACTGCATGTTCTAGCAAATTGAAATGGGTCTTTTGAAAATGCCCGTTAAAAGGTAACAAGTCTAAAGAAGAGCTTTGTTTTAGCAGAATGATAACATTTCACTATTAATACTCTTATAGACACCAAAATCTGGATATCTGAATGATCTGAAAAAATAACAAATTATCACTTCCCCATTTACATCTTGTAATGGATTCAGTTGGAGACTTCAGATCCAAGATGGATAAATGTGTATATATTCTTCAGAACTACAAAGATTGATTCTCAACACTAAGTTCTGGATGAACCACTGTACAGTAAAGACTTTTTTTATGGCATAAAAATTTAGACTCTTGTATTTTAAAACTGACATCCTTCACAGATTGAGAGGATGTCTCCACTCACATGAAATGCCACGTATTTGTATTATTTAAATCATTAACAAATAAATTTATATCAAACATACCAGCCCTAAACAGTTATTAATTCTTGTCAAATCTTCTATTTTTGAACAACACGACAGACAAGTCAGCCAGAGGCCAATTACATGTTTATCTTATTTAAGCTACCAATCAAGACTGGGAATTTTAAACAAATAACAGCTAACCATACTCTTAAATATCAAATTGGTGTTCACTGACAACTGTTTCATTTTTCCTGGGAATTTTTCACAGTTCTCTTCAAAGTTGTCCAAATGCCCTGTTCTGTCAACCAAAAGTGTTTTGCCTCAATATAATCTGGATATAAGAAAGGTTTAAATATGAAATTATTTTAATGGTAGTGATGGATGACATATCAATGGAGTGAGGGCAAATATCCATGTTCATCTTTCTACTCCTTCATGAACTTTTAGCATTACTGAGCATGAGAGTTTGATCTCACCTCACCTCCTCCCTAAATCCGTATTCCAAGAACTAAAGAAATGAACAATCAGAGAACCCTTCCAATCAGTAGAAGAGATTCCCACAGCACTCGCTTCTCCCTTTGAAGGAGAGACTGAACAAACAGCTCATCAATTTCAGTTTCACTGCTTGCTCCCTTACAGAGAAGAAACTGAGAAAGTAGTTATGAACCTGGTACAGGAAGCCTTTCTAAACTGAAAATTCCATAGCCTTCAGAATAATGAGAGACCAGATGGCTTCCAGTTGCTGCAGTTCAGAGGAAGGGATTTGAATCTGAACAGTAACAGATGTAAATTTTCAGCAAGCTGCCAACAGAATTAAATCAATCTTCTAGTCACTGTGCAAAAAAAAAAGTCCATCAGGGAAACTCATTCAGGACAAAACACAAAAAGACTAAAGCAGGCTCTGACATGCCTCATGCCTTAGGGTGTAGCACACTTCAGAATCTTCATTTTTGTAAAGTTTTTGCACATTTTCATAAATATGACAATAACGCAATCAGCTAGAGAATTAAATACGATCTTAGGATTTTTCTACTTAAGGATGTCTTGTAACTCATTATTCCTTGTCAACTATGGTAATACAGAAATAATACACTATAAAATAAAAAGAATTGAACCACATAAGAGTATAATCAAGCACCTACGCTTGTTTAGAGACTGGAAGTCATAACTTAAAGTCCCTGAATTAAAATAATATTAGTTACAAAAGCAATATTCATTTATAAGAGAATTTTCTGACAAATTCTGGATTTTATCCATGTGATTACTTTGTGAACAAATATAGCTTTCCAAACTCAGTTGTTACAAAGATAAATCCTAAGAAAAACCTAAAATACAATTACTTTTGAAAAATACAAAGCAGCACTTAATTTCACAAGGAAAACAGTATGCTTAATGAAAGCTACTTACTTTACATGTCACAAATCATCTTATCCAATTAGTTTTTATTCATTTGTAGAATCAAGAGACATTAAAAGCGTTTACCAATAAATTCTAATCTCCCTCTCAAATGTTGAATTTATTCTGCAATCATAACTTACATTAAAAAGCATCTTCAATTGACTAGATCAAGTAATATTTACATAGTACAATAACAGAAAAGGCTTGCCTCATCTTAGGTTGACATCAGAGCAAACTTGGTGACTGTGATCTACAGAAATGCTGGGCTTAAACTCTTATTAAGCTTTATTAATTATACATCTTGTTTCTTTATCAAGATTTGAATGCATCAGAGAATTGTCACTGGCATCACTGAAACGGACTGGGATGACTCTCACAACTGGAATGTAGGAATAGATGGGTATAAACACTTTAGGAAAGACAGGCAAGGGAAAAAGGGAGGGGGTATCGCTCTCTACGTCAGTGACCGTCTGGAGTCCACGGAGCTCCGCCTGGGGATGGATGAGGTGCTGACAGAGAGCTTATGGGTTAGGGTTAAAGGAAAGGAGACAACGTAGTGGGGTTCTGCAACAGATTGCCTGATCAGGAAGACCAAGTGGATGAGGCCCTCTATAAACAGATAGAAGCAGCTTCACATTCACAAAATACGGTCCCCATGGGAGATTTCAACCACCCTGATATCTGTTGGAGGGACAACACAGCAGGGCACCAGAAATCAAAGAGGTTCCTAGAACATGTTGATGATAACTTCCTCTCCCAAGTGGTACAGGAATCCACCAGAAAAGGTGCAGTGCCATTTACAAGTAAAAAAAAAAAAAAAAGGAAAAAAGGCTCTCCCTATATAAAAACCATCTTTGTAGCAGCCTAAAAAACTAACAGTGAACATAACAATACTATGTATGAAATAGCTCAAATAAAAATTAAGCAAATTAGAATTTAAAAAATCTAAAGCAATTTGAAAAAGGAACTTGGCAAAAAAAAAAAAGGATTCCTTTATGTTTTTTCCAAGTAATTTTCAAGGTTATCTTCCCTTTCCTTTTAAAAGGCTCAAAGCTACTTTTAATATTAGTATCATAAATATCATTAATATCTTAAGAATTCTATCTTTTTACTTCATGCTATATGAGTTTTTCAAAAAAACACCCTTCAGAGGCTAGTCCTTAAATAAGCCTGGGGGAGAGTCATATGGGAAGCACAGGTCAATTGCTAGCACCTGTGCTCCCTGGGCCAGCCACCCCCTTCACCAGTTCAGGCTGTGACATAACATTTCACCTACAAACCTGAAAATTAATTCAGTAGCAGGTCAAAATCGTGAAGAACGATAAGAGTTTAATGTAATGTTCCAGAAACAGAACATTTCCAGATAAATTTACACAACTAGCTTGGAAGTACTTGTCTATACACAAAAATAACCCATTTCTATCCAAAGAGCTGCAAAGCACAAGTTAATGCAGAGAACTGAGGTTACCAAAAGGAAATTTCTTCCTCAACACCATCCCCCTCCCCCAAAAGAGAAAAGATGTCTGAGGAGCACAGAAATTCCTGAAACATAGGTTTTTAAAAATCAACAGGATTTCTTGCACTTTCCTAGAATAGTTATCTTCAGAATGTTAACTAAGTATAATTTCAGTTAAGTAAACAAAATGGGTTCAGAACACAGACCTCTGCTTTTTTCAGAAGCATTTAAGAGCACCAAGCACTAAAGGAAATGTGACTACTAACAGTGATTAGAAGAGAAGGATGTGTGTGCCAAGTTTCACTGACTTTCTAAAGAAACTAGATCATCAAAATGTCCTGATGTACCTCAGAACAGGATGGTAAATTTCTTGATGATTGTTATGGAAAAAGATAGTCTCTTTCTGTATTAATCATTTTCAATCACCCATACTATGGCTGTTCTTTTTTTTTCCTACTCAGATAATCCAAGACTTCACAAACAATAGCTGGATATACCTGTGATATACATATTTTTAAAACAGAAGATACGATCTAGTACTGATTGACAACTTGTATATTATGATGAGGACATAGAGGTCATTATGAGGTGGGGGACAATGGGAACTGAAGACCTGAGGCATTACGTGTTCCAGAGACTTATGCTTTATTCTGAAGCTATTAAACATAATAGGCACAGTAGAATGAAACTTTTAGTGTGGAATGTCTTAATCTCCAGAATCTCAAATTAGTCCTTTCATGAACTGATACAGATAAGTTACTTGCAAAATTAATCAACAGAGACTTCCTTGATGAAAAAAAAGTAGGAAGAGAAGATGTAATCTTGTCCTTCCACACAGAGGACAAAACTAACTTTTTCCAAACTTTGTACCTCTCTATCATGATGAAAAGACCATATAATCCAGTTAATCACAGTTAAAGACAAAAACAGAGCCCTAAAAGAACTCTGGTATGGAGGGAAAAGGTCTATTATCATACAAGTCCAACCCATTACCTGCATGCAGCCCTGGACAACTAGTAAGGCAGCCCCACAAAAGCCCCACTTTTAACATGATTATTTTTAGCAATATTTTTCATAAGTTGATAAAAAAAGAACATTAAAAAATGACTTGAAAATTGCCTTAAGCAAGCACAGCAATTGTATAATTTTTGTCAAGATCTTCCAGAAAACCATCTCCACCACTTCCCTGGAATAAAATTTCGATCACACTACTGGCCCCAAAGCTCAGAAAGAACATGTCATATCCACCTTACTGTTTACAAAGAAGCATATTAATACCTTTGATGAAGCACTGTACTGTAGATTTCCTATCTTAAAAAAGGACAGAGAAGACCACTAATCTTCTATCAAAATTCAAGTACAATTCCACTCAAAGTACTTTATGGAAGACAACAAAGAATACCTACACAGAAAGTATAGTGTGACTCTGAGTTTGTATTGTATGTATTGCCATGTCTCAATTACTAAAGCAGCAAAGATGCTTTCATGCAAATTTCAGCATATGCTAGCATCTAAAGTAAGAATCCTAGAGGGACACTTGCTATGTACAGTATCAGCTAGTATGATCTGAAGTTGCAATATATGTTTCTCAAGTTCATAAATGCCAGGCTTTTGCATAAATGCAGCTTCTCAAATATGAACAACACATTTAGGAGGTATTGGACATATTGCTAACAGACATATTCCCATAGGAACTGTAGAGGAAGCTTCCTCCTGCAGTCACCTGCAACCTAGCAGTGCAAAAATAAAAGTAGCTTTTGAGGAAACAAAGTATTAAGAAACAAACCACAACCTTTCCATAAATAAATTTAAAATTAGTGCAAGAGATGTAAACAGAGCAGCAAAATACCCCCATTTAATTAAATCAAAATTAAATGTAGTAGACACCTCTTTTGACATGACCACCAATTTTCTCAGTAAATTGACAAATAACATTTTTAATAAGATTTGATTTAGTTACCAAATAAGGAATATCTAGAGTTAAACTTTTTAGTAACCACAACAATTATATTCTTATTATTCTCTCTCTCTCTTCCCTCCAACGTATTTGTTTTTTTTTAAAGAAAAAAAATCTTTGAATGGGGAGAAAACATCCTCTCTCTGGTGAACACTTGAACAACATACAATATAGAAGTATATATTACCCAATCATTACTGTACCTTAAAAAGAATAGATGTGATTTTAATCTAACACCTCCTTTACATTAGGTTCAAATAGGGATATTAATAGATGAGGATAAAAGTTTTCCTACATTTTCTTAAATTAGGCAATATAGGTAGTTAATGAATAATCCAACTACCATAACAGTACAAATGTTATGTTATGGTACTACTGGGATTTTAGAAACTTTAGAAACAACATTAATTGTCCTTCATTCAGTCTCATAGTTCAAATAAGAATAGTTTAAAAAGAATTCTGAAACACAAGAACTTCACTTTCTATACAGTAATACCCCCAAATAAAGAATACCAGCTATTAAAAATATGCATGTAGTAGAGATTACAGTTCATTGTTGGAGGGAATGAAGATGAATGTCACAAAAGAACCTACACTGAATAAATAGAATTGAACTATGTGACAATGAAAGGAAGTTAGTTTTTATATGTTAGATATATAAAATATATATAGTGTATATACACACACAATCCTTTTACCTTTATCTTGCACTTCTTTTGAAAATCGCTCCCTTTCAATAGCTGATTCACGTTCTATCCGCTCAATTTCAGCCAATGCATCCAATTCTACTTCATCATATGACGTTATAGTTCCTTGTTGCGAAACCTGTTGCTGTGTCTGTACCACAGGAGTTTGAGGTTGTTTTGCAGCAACTGAAGTGTTCTGTTGTAAAACAGGCACTTGTTGTGCCTGAAGGAAAGCTGTCTGTTCATGCTGCGGCAAACACTGAGCAGCGTTTAGTGGGCGGTTAACATCCTGTGGAGTAACGGGTGTTTTAGAAGTCTGTCCTGGGTACTGCACATTAAAAGGAATATCACCCTCTGACACACTGCTGTTTTCCAAACCACAAAGCATATCATCCTGCTGGTCCAAATCCGAAGATCTTACACGAGAGAGTCTTAATGTAAGCTTAGTGGAGTCCTTGGAAGGAGAACTAATGATATCATACATTGCAGCTTTTTCAGTCTGGTCTTTTTCATCCTTGCCTAACTTCATTTTCTTTTGTTTCTTTTGCTTTCTTTCTGGAGAATCTAACAATATGTCTGGGGGAACATCTCTAGGTGATGAATAAGGTGGAGGCTGAGACTGTAGGATTAAAGGTGGTCTTGATCCTAGAATAATAATTCAGAAAAACTGAACAGTTATGTTGTTTCATGTTTATATAAAAACACACTAAATATAACCTACATATTTTTAATGTGTATTTGTAAATATATCTGTGTTCATAAAAGATCTAAATGAGATTGGTAGGAAGCACATTATTCCTAGATCAAGATGTAATCCAGATAGTAGCACTCTATTTCCTAGGAAATTTTGGTAACTGCAGGTGGAGAAGGGATCATTTCAGAGAAGATGGAACAAAAAAACCCACAACCACAAAAAAAAAAAAAAAAAAAGTACCTGCAGATTTAGAATATCAACTATCAAAAATAGTGAATGTAAGCAAATTGACTGCAGAAAGAGAAAAGATAAAAAAGAATCTTCATAGGGTCCAATGGTGAAAGATCAGTGAATAGATACTAGCCATTTCAGCCATATACTTTTAAGCAAATATTTTAAAAAAGAAAGACAAAAAAAGAAAAAAAGAAAAGAACAAAACAAATGTAGTTCAGGGGAGTTCCCCTACCTTACAGTTCCACAGAAAGGTGAAAATAGAAAACATATTAAAAGATCAATTGGCCTCTCCTTCTTGCTTTCTTGCTTGACTCTGACAGTCTTTTTTTTTTTTTTTTTTTTGTAAACTCATTCTATCCTCTTCCCACTTCCCCATTAATATCTAGAAAACACTAATACACTAATTGTCTTAAGGCATTCTTTTACCATTCTCTGCAATACCTCATCTCTTTTTAAAATTTTTTCTCATTTTTTGAAACATACAAATTTTTACTTCTACATGCAGTAATTCCAGACTTAGAGCATATCTACAGAAAATTTAAAAAGTGGACATTTTTCATTAAAAACATTCTTCAATTCAGCACATTAATTTTTTTCTTTCCTCAAATTAAAACAGCTCCCCATAACTATTAGCCCAGAAAAAACTTTGAAAGGCAAGTAACTTACACTTAAAAAAAAAAAAAAAGAAAGAAAGAAAAAGAAAACAAGAGGAAAAAAAAAGAAAGAAAAAGAGGATGGACCAATAGGGTCCAGCCTGCTTTTGTTTAAACAAAGAAAACATTTCTCTGATCCCATTCATCCACTAGGGAATACTGATCTTCAGAAAGAGGTGACTGAGGTATTGTTAGTCATTCTGTTTTAGATCATCATAAGTCAGTACTTCTAAAAACATTCAAAAATTTATTGGAAGACAGGACCCCCATATGCTTCATTCAAGAAACACTACTAAATAAGTAAGCAGATTTATTCTGCAGCTTAAATGTATAGTAGATATTTTAAGAAATATTAATCATTAAACAACATACTGGTCTACAAATGAAAGAAAGAATGGTAAGTCCTGCAAAGTTTCAGTTCAAATGAAAGTTGTTTCCTTACTAACAACTTTGTAGACTGCTATATATTAGCTCCTCTCTCTAATGGTACATTCTGTGAGATGCGTATGTAATGCTGGGTATCTTACACAGTTCTCCTTGACCATGAGAAACAAATTCTATTTTCTACCAATAATATCTACAATGTTGAAAAGCCCTGTTTTGATTCATCCTGATTCTCAAGACATTTCTGCTGTTTCATTTCACCTCCTCAAATTAGATGCAACATACCAAAGTCCTGGCTGCATCCTACAAAACTCTCTCACTTGCCTTCCACCAGATTTCTGTTCTTGATATGCATGTAGATATGTGCACACACACATAACCTAATTACCATCTCTTTAGACAATAACTTACAAAACTGTCTCAGCATAAAGCATAGCAGAAATTGTTAGCGATTTACTTCCTTAAAGGTAATGAGTACCACTAGGCGGAGGCTGCATTTTGTCCACAAATATTACAGGCAGCTCAAAACTTTTCAAAGAGAATTTACTGACATCTTTACTCTTGAATCACTTAAATGAATATCTCTGAAACTGAAATATTGAAATGCTTATTGCTCTATTGTTCTCTATTGTTCAAAGAGAGGACAAAGATAGGATTCTTCCTTGCCCTAAACTTTTAAATAAATATGACAAGATCATTCTGATTTGGTATTATTTTTTTCATACTGAAAAATAACACTGCAGATGAGTGCAGATGAGGTTGGTTTTTTTTCGTTTTGTTTTGTTTTTGTCTTAATCTTGTTTAATCTTTGAGTTGACTTGGAGTTGGAGGTCAGAAGGATTTCAGTACATTACATTCAGCATACTTAGAAAACAAAGAAATGAAGTACAGTCTTCCCTCTGCTAGGCAGCACTACGAATAGCTATCTTCTCCCTGAAGGCATTGAAGGTTAAGTCTATAAGCTGCATTTTAAACGTATATATTCTGAGATATTCTGAGATATCTGAAGATGATGTTAAGCCTTTGGCAATAAATGGATGTAGGCAGTACAATATCTAGATTTTGAAGCAACTGGGGAAAAAAACATGTATTCTGGATGAGTTTAATTGCACCACAGACCTTAATAGTTTTGAACACGTATCACACACTGAACACGCACCACACTGTTGGATGCTTAGACTTTAGACAAAACATCATTCATTAGACAGAAAAATTTTGCCTACTGCTACTGAAGTCAGTCTGGAATATTTCCTATGAGCAAAGACTTAAGGCATTATACATCTGAGAACAAAGTACTCACAAGACTTTTTGACAACAAAAGAAATGTTTTTAGGGAAAGAATAGACAGGTATGATACGTTAACTGAAGCAGTCAAGATTACAAAGCTGAGAAGGTAAATGATGTCAGTATAGTAAAACATACGGTGATCACTGGAAATGACCTTTGTGAATGACTCTACTGTCATAATATTCTTTTAGAATAGAGAAATATACAAGTAGCATTCCAGTCTAAATGTAGAGCTGTGCACTAATTTGTGAGAAAAAAAAAACAACTGACTTTCTGTTGTTGATCTTCCATGGTAACAGTAAAAGAACCTTGACCAAATTTCCTTGTATGGCAAGAACATACAAAGGTTGTGAGAAAAGAAGAGATTTTCCTCTGATTTGGGAAGGTCATTCTATCATTACTGACCGATGATGATCCAGCTAATGCCAAATATAAATGACAAGTAGGTAACACCATGTGAATTAAAGACTCTATGAAGAACAAATAGACCCATAAACAATACATCTATAGCTTCTCTTTTACAAAGTCATCCTGACCATTCATGATAATGTAAGGATTGGTTATATTAATTTTCTTAGTGATAGATGGCACTGAGTATGGAAGAAGTTTTACAAACTGTGTTAGCACTTTGAACCTTTTTTTTTCCCCTGTAAGTTTCAAATGATTTTTTTTCATATCCTTTGTAATGCAAGTAACTACAAAATGCATTACATTAACACTGACTTAGTTACCTTACGAATTTTAAGTTTCAAAAATACTTTCCCTCCCCCCATTCCCCCATGTGAAATGGCTTCACTTGCTCAGTGTACAACTATAATTTGGGCAGCAAAGAAATAAGCTTCTGTTCAGGAGGTTATACACATCACTGATATCTAAATCTTACAGTTTTTGAACTGCATACTTTCTAATTATGTTACAGTATTTGCATTTTACCTAACCTTTCATGATACTCTCTCTGATCATCTTGGAGCCTTTCTAGAATTGGCTGCCTGTCAAAGTTGGTGCACCAAAGTCCCATCACTAGTCACATTCTTTATTGTAACCCACATGGTTAAAAAACAATTCTGAAGGTGATCGGGAACATAGAATTCATATTTAGAAGAATTACTAGCTTTTCAGTCACATAACGACTTCAAAAGATTCATTCCAAGCAGTATCTTCATTTTCTTAAATCACTTTCAGGTAAAGGTTCCCAGATGTTCAAAGAAAATCTTTCACCAATCGTACATGCTCTTTTGCTGTAGTGCATCAAGTCCAGAAAAAAAATACCAGTGAAAAAAGACTAATGTATAATCCTTACTGCATAGTTTGCTTCTGGAGAAAAACACCACAAATTTTCAAAGTGCTATGCCTTTTAAAATTCATTACAATGTGATTCTCCAGACATTACCATAGAACATTACCATAAGGAAGCGTGCTTCCTCCCTGTAATATTTCTAGGAAACTTCCTAGTCTGATTCACTCCTCTGATTATTATCTTTTACTGTCAGTTCAGGCCAGCACTGAGAGAACCTGAGGATTACCAAAAAGGACTTCTGGGGACTGGGGCAGTTAGTGAACAAAGAGGGAGCAGATGTACAGTGGTATTTTCCTCTATCCCTTCAGTGGCAGGGAGGGATACTTGAGAGGACCAGGAAAACTCATCTCATAAATGCATGGCTGAGAGGTTGGTGTAAGAACTTTGTGTTTTTTTGACCATGGGGTAGTTTAGTCAGTGCCTGGCCTGATGGCTGCTGATGTCTCAAAGGTAGAAATGGATCCCAGCCCAGGAGCTGGCAGTTTGTTGAGATGGCTTTAAACAAGATAAAGAGTGCAGGGGATAAAACCAGGCCCACTAGAGATGAGCCTAGAGGAACAATGGATCTCCTTTGAGATAAGGAGTTCAGATGAAGTGCAACTATGCCAATGTACACAGCATGGGAAACAAACAGGAGGAGCTGGAAGCCATCATGAAACAGGCATACTGTAGCTTAGTTGCCATTACTGAAACATGGTGCAATCCTCCCACAGCTGGAGCAATGTAATGGATGGCTATAAGCTCCTCAGAAGGGATAGGCAAGGAAGGAAGAGTGGTGGTGTGGCTCTCCTTATTAAGAGAGTCTTTGATGTTAAGCTCAGGGCTAGGAATGATAAGGTTGAGTCTCTAAGGGTAAGGATCAAGGGAAGGGCTAACAAGGCACATGTCCTGGTGGTAGTCTATTATAGACTGTCTAACCAGGATGAAGAGACAGATGAGGCATTCTACAAAGAGGTAGCAGAAGCTGTGTGATCTCCAGCCCTTGTTCTCATAGGGGAATTCAACATCCCTGATTTATGTTGGAAATACAATACAGTGCAGAAGCAGCAGTCTAGGAGGTTTCTAGAGATTATGGAAGATAACTTCCTGATGCAGC